AGGAAGGAAGGAAGGAAGGAAGGAAGGAAGGAAGGAAGGAAGTGGGAAGAAAGAGAGAGAAGGAGAAAAAGAAAGGGCAAGAGAAATAGAAATGGAGCCTAAAGATGTGAATGAATTACTGCAATCTCAGGATAAAATGTTAGTGAAGAAGGAGTTGTTTCTTATGGATAAATAGAGAAAGTGGTTTCCTGAGATATATTCTACCTCTTATGAGAAGGCTGTGAACACGGCTGAAAGGACAAAGGATTTACAATGTTACATAAATTTAGTTGATAAAGTAGCAGCAGGATTTGAGAGAACTGGCTCCAGCTTCAATAGAAGCTCTACTATGGATAAATAGCACTGCATGCTACAGAGAAATCTTTCACAAAAGGAAGAGTCAATCTATGTATCAAATTTCACTATCATCTTATTTTAAGAAACTGCCACAGCCACTCCAACCTTTAGCAATCACCACTTTAATCAGTCAGTAGTTATCAACATTGAAGCCACAAAATATTACAACTTGCTTAAAGTTCAGATGTACATTAGCATATTTTAGCAATAAAATATTTTAATTAATGTGCTGCATATACTTTTTTAGATGTAATGCTACTGCACAGCAAATAACTATAGTATACAATAAACTTAACTTTTATATGCACTTGGAAAACAAAAAAAAAATGTGCAGCTCACTTTACTGTAATATTTATTTCATTGCAGTAACCTGGAACCAAACTTGTAATACCTCTAAGGTATGCCTATAGATATACACCTATGATAAACTTTTACCTTTTACCTAATACAGCTTCTCTTTGTCATATCCAAATCGTCAGTCAGCACCACTACTCTTAGGCTTTGAAGCCATTATTAAGTGAAATAAATGTGACAGCGTTTGAATACATACCATGACAGTTAATTTGATAACCAATATGGACATATGTCACTAACAGGCAAGGAGCATATAAAGCACAGATACGCCAGGCAATGAAATGATTTACATCCCAGGCAGGTAGAGTGAGACAAGAAGAAATTTCACCACACTATTCAGAACAGAACATAATTTCAAACTTAGGAATTGTTCATTTCTGGAATTTTCCATTTAATATTTTTGGATTGCAGATGACTACAGGTAACTGAAACTGTGGAAAGTAAAATATCAAGTAAGGGGAAACGAACATAAAGCTAATGTTTTCTGCCTTGATGTCCAAAGCCATTTCCATCTTACTACACTGCCATTTGAGATGCAAATAGAAAATCAAAATCCTAACAACTGATTCACCTTGAACACAACAAGAACACCATTCCTAGCCAATTTCTTAATGAAAAGTTCCTTTTTCATATGCTATGAGTGTGGTATAAACAACATAAAATCTAATTTTGATGGCAATCATAGCATCATCTTATAAATGTCTTTTGAAAAGGAAATAATTTTCTAAATAAAGTACCATAAAACTTTTATTAAAGAGGATTCATGGAGACTTTCATAAATATATAAACAACATTCCTAATTCTAAAGGAGTTAACAATAAGGATTTTAACAAAATCAATATCCATGCATTTAAAAATTCAACCATTTAGGAACTGGGAATGTAGCTCAGTGGTAGAGGACTTGCCAGCATATGCAAAGACCTAAGTTTGATCTCCAGTGCCAAAAACAAACAAATAAATAATCATTTAACTGATCCTCAAATTCTTCTAAACATTATTCTAATAATAACATTAACAAGATTAGTCCTTAAGTGATTATTCTGCTTGAATACACAGTCATTTCCGTAGGCACTCATTGATACGAATAAATGCTTAATGTGCATTAATGTAGTTAATCTGCACAATGACTCCAAGTTCCAGATAATTTTGTTAGCCTGTTTTACAGATAAGAAAACTAAGGCTTGGAGACTTTAGGTTATTTGTTTAAAATTATGGAGTTGTTTAGTATAGTTTTTGTTTTTACAATCACTAGCGACTGAACTTAGGAACTTCTGCATATTAGGCACGCACTCTACCACTGACTTACATTCCCAGCCCTTTTTATTTTTATTTTGAGATAGGGTCTCAGTGAGTTGCCTAAGCTGACCTCAAAATTGCCATTCTCCTGCTTCATCCTCTTAAGTAGCTGGAATTACAGTTGTACTCTACCTTGCCCAACTAATTCCAAATCTTAACCCATTCTCTAGTCCAATATACATTATCTACTTTCAATTGCCAAAAAGGATTTCCTCCAAGTTTCTACCTTTCTCTTCTTGTTTCAGACAAGATAGACAGCTACTACTAGAAGAGCTGCACTGGACATAGATTCATCCTGTCATTACATGTGCTTGTTCTTGTTCAGAACTTTGTATGTCCTAAGGAACACGCTCCATCACATTCTCCCGGAGAAATTACTACAAAAACGGAGGCCAAATTCTCAGACCAACCCTCAGAAACTAGACTATCACTTAAAGTAATATGTCAAGGAAAACTTCATTGAATTATTACAAGACAAAAAGATATCATCATGTTCTGTCATACCCTCCTCCAAAAGGTACCCCCAATCCCAAAGGTAACATTAAATTCTTTTGTTGTCTTCCTCTAGCACACAACCAAGAATGATTTCACACATCCTTGTCCCATCATGAGCTTCTTCAGTAAATGAGACTTAAATTATACCAGTTTTCAGGGAGGACAGGTACAAAGGTAGGAAGAGAAAAGGGTCGGATAAGACAGTTTATGCATGTATACACTTATATATTTAAGTCTGAAGCCTAAAAGAGCCTTTTTTATTAAAACTATTACAGTTCAGTACCAAAAATAGTTATGTGAATTAGCACAGAAATCTAATTACCATACTGCACTTGAAAACAGATTTGGAGCACAACACACTTATAAATTGGAAACAAACTTATAAACTGAAAACTGTACTCATGAGTAGTCCTATAAGCAGCTACCTATTTCTAATTTTCTAAAAATTCAAAGCTAATATTTGAGGAAGAGGGACACATGGACCTATCACTCCCTTCAACTGCATATGCAGTAAAAGTAGCTTTATACATAAAGTACCCAAGTCTGTAAAATAAACATTAGATGCTTTGGGATAATTACACCCAAGTCATATATCCAAAATACTTCAGTGTCCTCATTTTAGATAAGAAGTTGATACTATTTTCAAAGTTTTGGAATTATGAAACTTATGTTCTCTTTTTTATTACCAGAGACTTTTAAAAAAACTTTTTAAAAGTTTTTTTTATACTGTGATAATAAGAAAGTGTCTATCTGGAGTGAAATTTAACAATAATTGTCAAATCATAAAAATGTTCATAGCTTTTGACTCAGTAATCCAACTTGTAAGAATTTACTCTAATAAAAATACCAGAGATCATTAATTAATTTAACAAATTATCAAGGACTTATTTTGTGCCAGGCACTACTTTTATGTATAAGCGTGTATCTCACATTGCTTAATAGCATCAAAAATTAGGAGAAAAACTAAACACCCATTAGTAGTAAGAGTTAAATTAGAATATATCCAACAGATAAAATATGATACTGCCACTATAAACCATATTGCCAAAAATACTTAAGAAAATATAAGAAAATGTTCATGATGTTAAAAACTACATGTAAATATATATAACCATATGTATAATCCCAAATTTGTATTTGGAGATAATATTTCCTAAGGATCTTGGTGTAGATACCTTAACCTCTCTGTACCCAGTATCTTTGTGTATAAAATTAAAATTTTACATATCAGGCATGGTGGTGGCCTATAATCCCAGCACTCTGGAGGCTAAGGCAGGAGGCATTGTGAGTTTGAGGCCAGCCTGGGCTACAAAGTGAGCTCAAAGCCAGCCTGAACTGATAGCAAGACCCTGTCTGAAAAAGACCAAAAAAAAAAATTAAAATTTTACATGTAAAATGAAGATTTTATATCTTACATTGTTAAATGACCTATTTGTAAAGTATTTATAATAGTCCCCAAGTTCATATCAAAACAATAGTAATTGCTTCCTGCTGTTATAATTACACATGTACATATATAAGCAAAAAACCCTGTAAGAAACATATCAAGATATTATCATAAATTCTAAGCCCGGCGTGGTGGCGCATGCCTGTAATCCCAGCACTTGGGAGGCTGAGGCAGGAGGATCATTGCGAGTTAGAGACCAGCCTAGGCTACGAAGTGAGTGCAAGGTCAGCCTGAACTGCATAGTGAGACCCTGTTTCAAAAAAGACAAAAAAGAACAAAATAAACAAAATAAACAAAATAAATTCTAACAAAACTAAATGTGAGACAATGAGGAAATCTGAGTACTGACTGCCTATTAGAAGATATTAAAAATTACTTTTAAGACACAGCTGTGCTTCTTTAAAGTCCTTATATCATAATGAGGTATTTATGAATCAAATATGGTATCTAGGATTTGCTTTTAAATACTCTGTGCAAAGTTTATATAAGGAATTTTTTTCTTAACATTTTTAAAGTTATCATGGTTAAGTTACCTCTGTTAATGCAATTATTACTAGTTTTTATTTTCTTACATTTTCTATTTTTCAAATTTTCTAGAGTGATTTGAAACTATTTTTAAAATGAGAAAAATAAATTTCAAAAAACTTAAAATTCTTACCAATCCTCCATCCACAGATGAAACTTTCTCCCAAGTTAACCAAGCTCTTTCTCTGACGCAATCTGCTATCTTTAATTTCTGACATAATGCAGTAAAATCAGGTTCTTCAGTTTCTTCAAATTCAAGCCTGACAAATGAAAATAATCATATAATAGGTATACAAAAATCAAACTGATTAAGTAAACATTTTTTCAACAGTTTGAACATGAAAGCACTATTCTGAAAGAAAAATTATTTTCAGAATTTATTCTTTCTTTTAAAAAAGTACACACAGAATTTAAACGTATGTTTATCATTTTCATAGTCTTCCTAAAATAAGAGTATCACACAGTGAAAAATATCTGTTGGCATGGTGAATCAAATATACTCCAGAGCAGCAAAACAGCTCTGTGAAAGAAAAATACAACAGTCAACACTGTTTGGGAAAATGGAATAATTGTAACAACAAGAAGAGAAAAGTCCACAGGTAATATTACACATGCAATTCAATGCCAGTTACTTTGCTAAACTGTAATCTATATCAACATTTTATATAATATCCCTATTACTATTTCTCATGATAATTAACTTGATATCAATTATTGCATAGCTTATTTCTGCTCCTTCCCCTTGATCTTTCTTAACCAAGATCAGCAATCAATAAATTCCTGTTGGCTAACTCTTTTTCATTCATTTAATACCTATATAATATCTAATAACCGTAGTACCAATAATACAAAGCACAAATTAACTTTTGAGTATTTACTATGACCCTATACAAAGTGTCTCAGATGCATGGTTTCACTGACTACCCACACCAGCTACATTAAGCCAGTACTCTATAATTATCCATGTTTCACAGATGTCTTGAGATCATGACCAGGTAAGAATAAACCATGATATGAACCAAACACTAACACCATAATCCAAGCCCCTGACCATCACTCTAGATTGCCTTCCTCAACACATATTAGTCCTTGATTATTTCAATAGTGAAGGTGTAGCATGCTGTTCCCCTCCGTTTCCCTTCCAACTATGTCACTTAGACCACAGACAATGCAACATAAATAACATAGCAAGTTTCATAGTAGAAATGGACACTGTCACTGCAAGTGCAGTTGGACAAGGGCCTGAATCTCCATCCCTAAGCAAGTTTCTCAGCTTCAAGATTGCCAGGCAGTGGTCTTGCCCTTGCTAACTATAATCACGTGCCACATAACATTTCAATCAATGACAACGTCAGTATACAACGGTTGTCCCATAAGATTATAACGGAGCTGGAAAAATTTCACCACCTAAAGACACCTTAGCCAATGTAAGGTCCTAGCACAATGCCATTACTCACATGTTTTTAGTGATGCTAACACAAACAAACCTACTGTGCTGCTAGTATAGCACATTCCATTATCTATAGCACATAACATTTAATAATAAATGATTGTTACTGGATTCTGTATTCACCACACCATACTTTTCATCATTACTTTAGAGCTTACTATTATTTTTTAAAAGAAAGTTTACTGGAAAAAAAAAAGTATATTGTATTAGGCTAACAGGAGCGTCACACATTTTGATTGTAGCAGGATGCTATACGAAGTAACTGACCTATGCCATCTAGATTTGGGTCAGTGCACTCTCATGTTTGCTCAGTATTTACCAAATGACATAGAGACCTGTGCTAATGAAAGTTTTCGTGCGTATGGAAAAACAAAAGCAGACTATATCTTACATGCATTTGCCTTATACGAGAATTTCTGATTATTTCATCATGTAAAGATGTATTAAATAATGTGTTTTTAAAAAAGTAACAAGGTCCTTCTTTTCCAGGTGATGGTAAGAACTTCAAAATTTCTGCTGTAACCAGCAATGCTCCCACAGCTATGTGAATTTGTTAAGGGTATCTATTACTGTTCTTTCCAAAGGGAAATTTTCAAGCACTAAATACATCGAAGTTTAAGAAAAAGTTAAAGTAGTATCTTTTCCTAAAACATCCCCCAGACGTAGCCTTTTTCCCAACCAACATGATTTTAACTGGCGTGTAAGACAGTCCATTTAAATATCTGGGTTTTAAATAGCCTTGCACAATCCATTTCCAAAATCTTATTCCAATCTTTCTCAATTTGGCCTGAATTCTGTTAGAGTCTGTGGAGTGGAACAAAAGGTACTATTCAGTGAAGATAAAATGAGGCGTGGTGATGGACTAGAATGGGAGAAACAGCGGTGGGGAACAGAAACAAGTCTCATTTCCCTGCAATGGTCTGTCCTCTCAAAAGCAAAACCATTGTTGACAATAGTGACAAATATACTCCTTCAATTGCTTCATCATAAAGTACCCCAAAAGAGAAAAATAAGATTCTGAAATACAATAAATACCTCCCTGTCGTGTTCTACTGCATCCACAAGGACTTGTGCAAATTTAAACTTTATTTAATAAGAGGGTAGGCAACGTTCCTGTGAGCCGAAGAACACGACTAACTTTGTACCAGCCAAAAACAAAATCAAAAGGAGACACCCGGATTCTTGCTGACTGGAAGTCAAAAGCAAAAATGGAAGAAATAATGAGGCATGCTGAGGCCGACTAAGACGCAAAAAGCTTCCTAGTCCGCGGGGAGAAAAGGGGAAGTTTAGAAACTTCTAAGCTCTTGTGCCTCAAATGTCTCATGAAACTTTTGCCAACAGACCAGTTCCCCTAAAAAGTTATGTCCTATCAATCAGTACAGATGGCCCCAAGCCTCCAAGGCCTTGAAGCATTGTTCTAAGGAAACCTCACAAAGCCCCTCGGCCGAGTATCCCGTGGGCAACTGACAACCACGGCCCTGCATTTCACCCGCAAGGCCTCTCCTAGGGCTGGGCTGTGAGGGTGCAGCGCACGCCCAGGGCGAAAGATTCCCAACTGTTGCATCGCGGGAGACAAACAGAAAGGCAGACGACCCCGGGAGAACTCCAGATCTCCACAGGAGAAAAACTCCACAACAGTCCTGCTTGTGTCCGTGCGTGTGTGCGCGTGTGTGCGCGCGAGCGCGCGCGTTCGCTGGGGGCTCGCAGGGACCCGCCGCCTCCGAGCCTCGGTCTCGCCGGCGGAAACACTGCACCTGTCACTTCGCTCAGGAGCCCGCGCCCCACCCGCCCGGCACCTGTCAGGCCGGGGCCGAGACCCCTCGGAGAATGCCCTCGCCCGCTCGCGCCGCGGAGCGCTGACACCGTCCTGCCCACGCCGCGCCGCGGAGGGGACGGA